ACATCCCAAGCCAATCTCAAGCTATTCTAAATGGATATGATCATCCACACATAGTCTTTACACAGTTGTTAACATGTTTGTAGATTTCCTCTTCCCCACTGCATGACAACTACATCTTTGCCAGAGTTGTATGTTCATGTATGTGTACCTAGGGCTCTTGAGAGGGGTGTTACGTGACTGCCTTGTGATCTCAGCTTTCTGACCAGTTTAAGAAAACCTATGATAGAAGCTGGGGATATACCTCCTTGGCAGAGACTTGCTTAACAAGAGGAAAGCCCTGGGTTCAATCTCCAGCATCAAACACACACACACACACACACACACACACACACACACACACACACACACACACAAAACCAAACAAACCAAAAAAACCAAACAAACAAAAAACATAAACAACCTTTGCTGGCAAGGTGGTATATACTTTTAATCCCAGCATACAGGAGGTAGAGCCAGGCAGATCTCTGTGAGTTTGAGGCCAGTCTGGTCTACATATTGAGCTCTAAGACAGCCAGAGCTACATAACAGAGAGACCCTGTCTCCAAAAAAAGAAAAGAAAAGCTATAATTGGAGTAGCATACAAAAAAAAAAAAAAAAAGCCAGGTGGTGGTAGCACACTGCTTTAATTCCAGCACTCGGGAGGCAGAGGCAGGCGGATCTCTGAGAGTTCAAGGCCAGCCTGGTCTACAGAGCGAGATCCAGGACAGGCACCAAAACAACACAGAGAAACCCTGTCTCGAAAAACCAAAAAAAAAAAAAAAAGATTACCTAATTATGTAGGCTATCTGGCTACGTCTCTTTCTTAGGATACAGAAGACATTCTCTTTCCACCATTCTATAGCCTAAGTGGAAACAAAAGTCCCCAAGCCATTACCATGTCTTTCTTAAACTAATGTAACTGTTTCAAGCTGGGCTCCCACCTCCAATTTTGCTTCCATCCATACTATAGTCAGTGTATTAAAATTCTGTAATCATCAGAAACTAGAACAGGCTATAGATAAAATAGTTGAAATTAGCTATGTGACATCTGAAGCCTAAATCACGGTCATCTATTGACTATGGCCGAGTAGCAAATCCAACCCAGACTTAGAGATTTAAGCCTTAATATTTGGTTTGCCCATGGATTTCTCAGGGTTTGGCAGAGACCACTTGTCTTAATTCCACTTAGTGTTAGGTAGGCTTGATTAAAGACCAGGAATGGAAATAACCTGACTGACTGTGGGGTCGAGGAGTGGAAAGGGTTAAAGGGAGGGAGGGAGGGAGAAGCAGATGGAACGCCTCAGATTACAACAGCCTCAGACTCACATTACTTGTGCTGTGCTCCATTAGCAAGGCAGTGACATGAAGTCCACCAAGTCCAAAGGCAGGGAACATCGACCCAACATCTCAGTGCACACATCACCCTGGAGTGTGACTGTGTGAGACGTGATGTCCCGAATCGGCCATCATCGGGAAATGCCGTTTGCCAGGCATCATTGTACTTGCCATGTAACAGAGGGAAATAACTTAAAATGAATTGAGTTAGAAAACAAAACAAAACACAGGCCCTGTGCTTGCTTCATCTCATGGGGACGTCGTTGTCCCTGCTATAAGGGAATAATTTGTACATCTCCTCCTATCCACTTAACCAGGTCCTGCCCAGAGTAGCACAGCCATCTTTCTAGATGCGGATCAGATCTTGTCACCGTCTCTCTTTAAATGGCCCATTAGTGCTGCTTCTCCACCATCAATTCCTAACTCCTTACCATGGTGATGCAGCTTTCACACGTGGCCTTGCTTTATTATTATCTCTTGTCGTTGTTGTTGTTTTCTTTGTTCTCTAGGCTTCAGCCCCACTGAACAACTTTCTCAAGATCCTTCCAACCCCCTTTTGCCTTAGGCCTTTGTACACACTTAGGCCCCCTACTCTCGACCCTCTATTTCTCCATGCTCCTACTGGCTCTTCTGGACCAGCTTCCCTAAGTGGCGTCTCTCCCACACCTGCCACCAGCTGGCCTAGGGCTCTCGTCTCTCCCGGGCAGGTGCTCCCAAAGTGCCCTACACTAACGCTTCCTTCTGCTGGGGTCTTACTTCGTTTATCACCACACCCAGCGCCTGAGCACAGCAGAGGCCAGCACACCTTGGTTAGATGAGTGCTTCTCTGCCTCAGACAGTCCAGTGCTGGGCTCAAGCAAGCAGTGATTCCGATGGCACTGTCCTGTCCTGAATCCTGTAACTGAAGCAGAGCAATGCTGGATGAGGAGTCTCGAGGAAACGTTAGCAGTTTCATGTGACCTGGGAAGGCAGGATCCAAGAAGTGGCTCAGGGCGTCTTTTCTCTTCCAGCAATCACCCAGTTAGGCAGGCCTGCCTAGAAGGGACACACCTTGGCAACCATTGGCGGGATACTTGTTTATGCTGTGTGAATGTGTCCGGAGCCTATTTCTGGAGCAGGTACTGGATGCAAGCCTGTGCCATTCCAGCACTGACCTTGCCAAGGCCTGGGTGATGAGTGCATGTGCCAGAAAAAACAGTGGCAGTCACTTAGCTTACTTCCCTGGCTCTACCAGGTCATTACTGCCTTATCCCTGGTTGGTAATTATCCCTCGCTGGCTGCAAGGTTGAGTACTGCTACAGCTTTGCTTTACCTTTTGATCTGTTTCAGTAAGGATGGACGGAAGGAAGGAAGGAAGGTGGGGTGATAAGGCTCTCCCAACTCACACATTTCACCGATTTGAGGAAGTTCTCCCTAAGGTTTCAGGGTGAAAGGAAACATCAGCATTTCAGGCCAATCTTATTTTTCCTATGGTTAGTCTAATTACTGAAAGGGAACTGGAACACAAAGAGGTCATTTGACTTATTCATGACCACACAGTGAGCCACAGGACAGAGATAGCACCCCAAACACTTGGTTTCAAATGTAGTACCACTTCAAGAGCCTAGAAAAATCTATATACTCATAGATTCATTGACTTTGGGAGCTCATAAGAGATTTGGTTTAGGTTAATGGGGCTTCACCTTTTTAAAAGGAATGATTACTTAAGCTGTCACCTCTGAAACAGCTAAGAGTCCATAGCTAAAACTCACTGGAGTCCCTTTTATGGAGATTTGTCTCAGAATGAATCAAGATGGTTGGAGATCTGGAGCCTCCCTCTCCTACCTCTGCCAGGGTTTCCTCTAAATCAGCCCTCCGCTCTTCTCATACCAAAATGTCCGTGTGTGTGTTTGTGTGTGTGTGTGTGTGTGTGTGTGTGTGTGTGTGTGTGTGTGTAGGTGCCCTTAGAATCTAGAAGAGGGTGTTGGATCCCCTGGAGTTGGAGTTACAAGCAGTGGTGAGCTGTCTGGTGTAGCTGCTAGGAACTGAGCTTAGGTCCTCTGCAAGAGCAGCAAGTGCTAACGAGCCATTTCTCCAGACCCCAAAACATCTATTTTTGAGGTAGAAAATAGGAGGTAAAGGTAGGAAAAGGCTAAGCTTTTGCCTTGATCATAGAAGCACTACTTTCTGCTGTACAAGAACACTGTCCTTCCATCCCAGGACCAGCTGCTCTTCGGCAAGGTTTCTCAGGACCCTGCCGCTTTTCTTCCTGTCATGACTGAGGAAGAATGATTTTCTTTTATCATACAGGATGAAGAAAAACCTTAGTCCTTTTCTTTTAATCCTCTCCATCTAGCTGAAGCCATTAGCTGGCCCTGGAGGAATAGTGAGGTCTGTCATCTGACCCACGGACAGAGATGGCAGCTTGACAGCCTAGTTCAGTGCCAGATTCCATCACTGTTCAGGCTTCCCCAAGGTGCCACCCAAGGCCACCTTTTATGTCAAATATATCCTACTGACCAACAGCCGTAGGAATAAAGCTAATTCCGGTAGTTGATGGGGAAAAAAAGGGATGAGAAGAGTGTATCTGGAAATTATAAAGTATTTCTATCATTAAGTAAGCATATGGTATGACCTATTTGGCACCTATCCTTTGCAATAAGGGAAATACTTGATTTAAAAATGAGCAAGTGTGGCAGGGTGATGGTGGTGCATGCTTTTAATCCCAACACTCAGGAGGCAGAGGTACGTGGATTTTTGTGAGTTTAAGGCCAGCCTGGTCTACAAAGAGGGTTTCCAGGACAGCCAGAGCTGTTACACAGAAAAACCCTATCTCGAAAAACCAAAAAAAAAAAAAGAGCAAGTGTTCTCTGAAAATTTTTGGTCACACTGCTCATCATCATTATGGATTCACTGTTTCCCAGTAGCCACAACCCCAGAACCTTACCACAGAATGTTTAGACTGTCAGAAGCATGTATTAAAAACAGCCCTAGACTTAGGGCTGGAGAGATAGATCAGAGTTAAGAGCATTTATTGCTCTTGCAGAAGACCTGGGTCCAGTTCCCAATACCCACATGGCATCTTACAACCACTTGTCACTCTGGTAGCCAAGGATCTGAATCTTCTTTTGGTCACCATGGGCTCTTGCTCATACATGGTGTACAGAAACTCACACAAGCAAACACACATCCTCATAAATAAACAAATAAGAAAATCTTCTCTTTTTCTTTTTTGAGATAGGGTCTCTCTATGTAGCCCCGGCTGTCCCAGAACTCGCTATATAGACAGGCAGGCCTCACACTTACAGATTTTGAGTTAATGGTCTTCCTCTGCCTTTCTGAGTCCTGAGATTAAAAGCCTGGGCCACCATGCCTGGTCAAATAAGTAAATCTTTTTCTTTTTGTTTTTGTTTTTTCGAGACAGGGTTTCTCTGTGTAGCTTTGCACCTTTCCTGGAACTCACCTTGTAGCCCAGGCTGGCCTTGAATTCACAGAGATCCGTCTGCCTCTGCCTCCCGAGTGCTAGGATTAAAGGCATGAGCCACCACTGCCCAGCCCAAACAAGTAAATCTTAACAAACACACAAAAACAAGAGGCTGCCAAAGGTTGCTAGCTCCTCTGCCATAGCATACCTCTGTCTTTACTTCCCTCCCTCCTGGGAGTTCATATGAGAGGCAATGGGTCAACAGTACCATCCACACTACACACTTGTTCCAATGACAAAGTTTTATATAGACAACTCAAACTTCACATGAACAACAACACAATAAACAAAGAGTAAATGCAAGCTCAGTCAGGAAAGTTGCCGCAGGGAGCAAGTTTGGAACTAGTCAAGAGTTGTGTCAAACACTAAAGCATATTTACAAGTCTAATTTGGAACTTGGTACAAAAAGAAGCTGGGGGAGAAGCCATGAAACAGGAAATATATCTACACAGATATAAACACCCACGTTCCACACTTCTTTTTTTCCCATTTTTGACACAAGGAACAAATCAAAAGGAAAAGCCCATTTCCCTCGAGTCCTCCTATTTACAATGAGTGTGTGAGAAAGCCCCACAAGGGCTTGGACTCAAGGAGGCTGACTTCATTCGCCTTGGCTACACTTGCTCCTGACTCCTTAGCTATGGAATGCTTGAGACACAGACACGAAGACCCAGATGTGAGAAAAAAAAATACGGCTCACTTAACCGATACATTATACACAAGAGCTCAGTGTCTCCAGGCTCTTCCACACCCTGTCCTTCAATGGATCCTTGCAAACCTCTCACCTGCAGCAAGAGAGCTCAGTCAAGCTTTCTGATCCAGCACACACTGGGTCAGTCACTTCATCCGAGACAGTCACACAAGCCAGCTCCAAGCAAGTCCTCGGGGGCCAGCAGCTGTCTGCTCTGTGGACTGGAAGTCTGGGCATTTTCTCTCCCCGGATTTCACTTTGCTGTTGAGCTCTCTCGAGCAGTGTTTCCCCCGGGCCCCAGACAGCTGCTTGGCTTATGTGTGCGTAATTTATTGTTCTCCTGCTGCTGGCTTGTCCCCGGCCTCTGGCTTCTCAGCCTGCGACTCTGGAGGGATGAGAAACTGGACCTCCTCTGTGCTGATGGCAACTTTATCTGGCTGAAGCCACCGTTTGAAATGTTCCAAGGTGCTAGAAAAGAACAGAAGAAAGGAAGGACTAGGTCAGCCCTCGCTGATTAGTTACTTAATGGTTAGCTCGGTTACTCAAATACTGCAGTGCTGCCGCCCACCACCACCGTCCTCCCACCTCCGCTTTCCCCGCTAACACGGAGAACCGGAGAACCGTGCTACTGCTCTGACTGACCGCCGTGCGTCCTGGCAGCTCAGCAGCGTCATTTACCCCCTAGTGGGCACTTTGGCTCTAAGCAGCGCCAGAGCCCCTTGAAAGCAGGCTCTCTGAAGGCTTGATGAGAACAGCTGAAGAGCCTGTGCCTCAACTTTATCTTTTTTTCCCTCCAATCTGAAAAGGCGAGAAATTGTCAAGGGGATGAAACAAACAAATACCAAATTATGGGTGAGACAGAGAACTGAGATCTTTTCTACCTAAGACGGTGTGAGGCTCGATTACACTAACAGAGCTTATTTGTAAGAACTGTAATTTGGGGGAGGGAGGATTAAGACCCCTAGCTAGAAACACCTGAGCATCCAATGTTCCCACCAAGGAATGGCCACTATGCCAGGGGACTCTTCATTTGCCTGTGTAGAGGGGGGCTGGTCAGGTGTCAGGTTCATATCTCCCTCCACCTCCCTTAAGCACCCAGGAACCTATACCTTACAGTTATCACACAGTCACAGTAAACTAGAAATGGATATAATATGAACACCATGCTATGCTCTTTAATGACACGCAGCAGCTGGGTACTGGTGGCTCACACCCACAGTTTTCAGCACCCAGGAGGCTGAGGCAGGAGGACTGTCACAAGTTCAAGGCCAGCCTAGATTACACAGAATGAGACCATATCACTAACCAACTAACTAACCAACCAACCAAACAAAAAGCACAAAGCCATAGAACTATGTGTTAAACAGTAGCATCTCTCACATGAGGAATCTCCTACCTGCCCTCACAAAATGCAGAATTGCCTGTTTAAAATGCAAACTTTGAGTTTGAAAACACATGTATAACCGCTGTTTTCCAGTGGTTTCCAGTGGTTTCCAGTGGTTTCCAGTGGTTTCCAGTGGTTTCCACTGTTTTCCAGTGGTTTCCAGTGGTTTCCAGTGGTTTCCAGTGGTTTCCAGTGGTTTCCACTGGTTTCCAGTGGTTTCCAGTGGTTTCCAGTGGTTTCCAGTGGTTCCCCATAACTACTGTTTCACTTTCAGTTCCGCAAAATGACAGAAGCGTCCCCACAGATGTAGGTAAGAGGGACGGAGCCAGCCCAGTGCCAGAGGTCAGAATAAGCAGGAGGCTGACTCATGCCCACAGCTCCAGAGAATCAGGTGAAAGAGACCCTTCATCTACCACCCTTCTCATGGAACTGTTCAAATTATTTCCATCGAAAAGGGAAGTCAAAACAAAAGCGGGAGCTCACTGAGTTTCTTTTTTTAATAATTTTATTTATTTTTTATTTTATTTTTTGGTTTTTCGAGACAGGGTTTCTCTGTGTAGCTTTGCGCCTTTCCTGGGACTCACCTGGTAGCCCAGGCTGGCCTCGAACTCACAGAGATCCGCCTGGCTCTGCCTCCCGAGTGCTGGGATTAAAGGCGTGCGCCACCACCGCCCGGCTATTTTATTAAGACAGGGTTTCTTCATGTAGTTTTGTTGTTGTTATTGTTATTATTTATTTATTATGTACACAGAAGAGGGCACCAGATCTCATTACAGGTGGTTGTGAGCCACCATGTGGGTGCTGGGAATTAAACTCAGGACCTCTGGAAGAACAGCCAGTACTCTTAACCTCTGAGCCATCTCTCCAGCCCTCTGCTCACTGAGTTTTATGTGTGAGTCCATGAGCAGAGAAGCCTGACTTCAGAAAGAGGGAATTCTTTCTCGACTACGTAAGAGAAAGTTTCGGCTCCTTTTTGTGTGTGTGTGTGTGTGCTTTGTTTTTCAAGACAGGGTTTTTCTGTGTAGCCCTGGCTGTCCTGGAACTTGCTCTGTAGTCCAGGTTGGCCTCAAACTCAGAGATGCACCTGCCTCTGTCTTCTGAATGCTGAGATTAAAGACCTGCGCCACCACCCCGAGCCAAAGTTTTGTCTTCTTAGTGTTGGAGTAGAGGGAGGTTTCTGGGAAGACAGAACATTGTGCCAAGTTATGAATGGATCAGGAATCTACATAACTTCAAATTGCCTGTTTGGGGAAGTTTAAGACTCACTTATGTTGAGCCTTTACAGACAGAAATAAACATATTATCTTGTAAACCTCCAGAGAGTAGTTGGGCTGACCTTAAAATACTGCACTGATTTCTGAAGAACCTGAGGGTATGCTGACTGAAAATGTGAGAGAACGCAAGGGAAAGTGCTTTGTAAATTAAATGAAGTGTGACTATGATGTTTTATTCAGACATCGGCCTTGATTCTGACAGTAGCATCTTCACATGACACAATGGGACTCTCAAAACCAATATTAACTATGTGTTCCATGCTAAAGCCATAGTCCCCTAAGGCCTTTACTTAAAATGATAGTTGTTATTCCTCCCACCAATTTTCTAAATTGTGTGTATGTGTGTGATGCACATGTGTGATATGTGTGTGTGCAGGTGCACAAACCCTTGGGTATACACTGAGAAGTGAAAAGAAGACATCCAACGTCTTGATCCATCATTCTCCACCTTGTTCCTTTGAGACAGGGTCTCCCACTGAACCTGGAGTAGGCCAGTGATTTTACAGAGGGTTACAGTTAAGAGACTACCTTAGGTTTCAGAGACTTTGGTCTCTACAACAGTGTTGAGATTGTAAGACCACAGGGACTTTCAAAGTTAGACTGAATGCATTTTGCTGTGTGATATACTCATGTGCCTGTGGGGGCCAGGGAGTGAAATGTGATGGTTCGAATGAACTGTCCCTCATATATTCAGACATTTGAACACTTTTGGCCTCCAGTCAACGATGCTGTTTGGGGAGGACTTGGAGGTGTGGCCTTGCTTGAAGAAGTGCACCACTGAGGGAGCGCTTCGAGGTTTCAAAGCCTCCCACATCCCAAGTATACGCTCTGTGCTTCCTGTTTATGGCTCAGGATGTAAACCCTCAGCTTTCTGCTTCCATCTCCAGTTACCATGCCTACCTGCTGCTATGCTTCCCCACCATGATGGATTCTTCCTTCTATACGTTGCCTTGGTCACGACGTCTTATCACAGCAACAGAAAAGTAACTAATACATCACCCTCCAAACACCAAGCAGTGACATCACATAAAAGATGCTTTAAAAATATATTTGCTTGAGACGGGCGGTGGTGGCGCACGCCTTTAATCCCAGCACTCGGGAGGCAGAGCCAGGCGGATCTCTGTGAGTTCGAGGCCAGCCTGGGCTACCAAGTGAGTTCCAGGAAAGGCGCAAAGCTACACAGAGAAACCCTGTCTCGAAAAACCAAAAAAAAAAAAAAAATATATATATATATATATATATATATATATTTGTTTGATCCACACACTTTTTTTTTTTTCAGGTTTCTCTGTGTAGCCCTGACTGTCCTGGAACTCGCTGTGTAGACCAGGCTGAACTCAGAGAGATTCACCTGCTTCTGCCTCCCGAGTGCTTGGATTAAATTGAGCACCACCACTCCGGGGCTGACCCACCCACATCAAGGGGCTCTACTAAGACAGAAGCTCTACAGCAATGACGATTAGGAGATAAGAAAGCATGGCTCTGTTGGTTCATTACTTCCTTCTCCAGTGCACCATAGACTGAAAAATGAAGACAGTACTTCATCCTCAACTCCATTAAATATGTGGCCAAGATGTAGCTGAGGATATTTGCCATTCTGAAAAACCCACTGTTGATTTAGGGGCAAACTGAACAACCTTCCAAGGACTGATTTCAGCTCATAGAGCTATCAGTATCAACTGATAGCAGTACTCTGATGTCACTCTCCCTGAGTTCTTTAGTGAATGAAAAGTATGTTCAGTGAAACCAGCTGTCAATCAATTACCTCTCATCAGAATCAAGGCCATCCACAAAAAACTCAGACGCTAACTTCTCTTGGAGGAATCGATCCCAGCATTCCTTCTTAGCTTGGGCCAGAGTTCGAAGCATGTCCTTGGAAGTTACTTCCTCATTTAAACCTTTGATTCTTCTTAGTTTCTTCTCTGAAGAGAAAAGAAATGAGCTTAACATAGAGAGTATGAGCCAGTATCAGCTATACAGCAAATTCAAGGCTAAGCCAGGCTACTGGAGACATTGTCTCAAATATAAACCCAAACAGACCAAAACAAAAACAAAAACAAAAAAGCCTTTTACTGATGAATATATCCACAGTCCCTGCAAAAAAACAACAAGAAAAAAACAAACCCATTTTTAGAGGAAAAATAAAAGTGGATTGAAGATGCTTCTTTTCCAGTCCTGTACTGTATGGAGGAAATGTTTAACCCTGGAAAAAGGGAGAGCCATAGGCTCTCATAAATAAATCAACAGCATGTTTTTTGTGGTTTTTTTTTTTTTTTTTGAAATCACAGCAGCCCAGCAGGTATCTCTCTAAGGAATGCTTGTTTTCCCTGGCTTGGCATGTGTATTCCATCTCCTATTTTCAACTACTGGAAAGGAGTGTCTCTGAGGAGTAAACGGTTTTTCTTCTGGTTACAAGGACATGAAGTGGTTTCCAGCCCTCATGAGAGAGAATTAGAGAAAATGATGAGAGACCAGTGGTTCATTAGATGCTGAAATTGACTTGATGGGAATGCACTAATAAGAGACCTTTAGAATCTCTATGTGGGATTCAATTCTTGATTAAAGAAAAATATCTTCCAACATTTTAAATAGTTCCTCAATTTGTGGCCTGCATGTTGGAGCCTAATAAAAGCAAATATCCTGTAATCCCTTTGAGAGTGGTCCACAGGGCTTCCTGATGATAGATGTTTAATTCCTCTTCTTTGCATTTGAATTGTTGAGGAGATCTCTTTTGAAGCGCACAAGAAATGACATCACCATTACTTTCTGTTTAATTTAGTCTTCAGCTGTATAATTCAGTCATGTACTTTGTAATGTTTTAGTCGAGGACAAGCCACATATGTCATAGTGATTTCATAAGGTAGGTGATGTCACATGTCTCACTTTGAGTGAGTACACTCTAGTGTGTTCACTGACGAAAGCACCTAACATTACATTTCTCAGACAATATCCTGATTGTGAAGCAGTGTGGGAGTCTGCATGGTGTCCCAGCTGCCTGCATGCAGGAGATCCTCACTAGCAGCCTGCCACTGTTGACATACATTCCTTTAGAGCAGTGGTTCTCAACCTTCCCAATGCTGCGACCCTTTAATACAGTTTCTCATGCTGTGGGGACCCCCAACCCTAAAATTATTTTTGTCGCTACTTCATGACTGTAATTTGGCTACCGTTATGAATCGTAATGTAAATATTTCTGGAGACAGAGGCTTGCCAAAGGGGTCACAGGTTGAGAACCACAGCCTTAGAAGAAGACGGTTGTTGGACCCTCACCTAAGATTCTGACTCCCCTTCCTGCACTTCCTGCCATTCTGCCCTATTGCATGTGGGCAGCCTCAAGAGGTGCTATATTACATGGGCTGGGGAAGGGCGGCTGGGGAAGGGCGGCTGGGGAAGGGCGGCTGAGGGGACGCCGTCATCTATACTGGGTGATGTCTTTCAGGTTTAGCTGCTCTGGGGCCATCCGTGCTCCTGTTAATAGCCCCTCACCTATGCTCTGTAAACAAGACCAAGAAATCACTTGGTTCCCCAGGGGGAACTTCGGGTTATAGTACCTAGTTTTGTCATTGGGACCCCATAAGGAAGGAGTAGACACTGTCTCCCTAAGAACAGAATGCTCAAAACAAGCAATTGATAGCTGTTTGAGGGGTGACATTGATCTTAGAACCAATAGAAATTTTATAATATGCAGTTTTGTTTCCATTTCTAAAAAAGTTACATCAGCTAACAGACACTGACCAAAACAATAAACACCTTGTATTTCTGTAAGTCACCAGCAAGAGCTCACCCACATAAAACACCTGAAGTTGATAAACATTAATGTTTAAGGTTTCTTTTTCCTTAAGGATATAAAAAGGATAATGTGTATCTAACATTTATCTGGCTGAATTTTTGTTTTGTTTTGTTTTTGTTTTTGTTTTCGAGACAGGGTTTCTCTGTGTAGTTTGGTGCCTTTCCTGGAACTCACTCTGTAGCCCAGGCTGGCCTCAAACTGACAGAGATCCGCCTACCTCTGCCTCCTGAGTGCTGGGATTAAAGGCGTGCGCCACCACTGCCCGGCTTGGCTGAATTTTTAATTGTTACTCTTATCAGTGGACTCTTTTTGGCACAAGTTTATTTGGCAATAAAAACAATCTTCAAATTGTCTAGCCTCAGTTGTCATGGAGATAGGTACTTTTAGGGGGTAGAATGGGCTTCTGAGTATGCTAGGTTCCCAAACAGGTGTGGTTTTTAACAGGCAAGCAGAGCCAGGTACTGTGAGACACTCCAAACCTGCCTGCCATTATTACCTAATCCCTTCCTGGGCTGCAAAAAGGCTCCCGGCTTCCTCGAGAAGGAAATTTTAATTACCAGTTAATTTCTTAACTGATTTTAGAAAAGGCCAGTGGAGTTTTAACTTTCTAACCAATATTTACCAATCAACATCATCATTATCATTATCTCCAAGAGTGGGTTTTTTGTTGTTGTTGTTTGTTTGTTTGTTTGTTTGTTTTCTGAAACAGGGTTTGTCTGTGTAGCCCTGGCTGTCCTGGAACTCATGCTCTAGACCAGGTTGGCCTTGAGTTCAGAGATCTGCCTGCCTCTGCCTCCCCATTGCTGGGATCAAAGGGTGAGCCACCACTGCCCAGCTCCAAGAATGTTTCTTATAAGTCCTGGTCTCGTGCTACCTACCAGCCAAAAGATCTGGTTCTTTCCCAGACTGTTGCCTCTTATCACTGTGAAGCAGATGTTCTGTCTACCACAAACAGAACCCTTCCGCCCCTTGGCCACGACAGCAAGCATCATTCTTCTCTGCTGGCTCCCTTACAAATTTCACACGGATCCCACATCATGTCTTCCACCTTTCCAACTGCATTCAAGGTCATCCTCAGCTACACAATAAGTTCAAAGCCAAACTGGGCTACATGAGACCTTGTCTAAAAAATGGGGGTGTTGAATGCCTGGGGATATGGCTCAGAGGTAGAATTTGGTTTGTCTAGTATGTATGAGACCTTGGGTTTGAAAAGCAGCATAAATAAAGAAATATCAAAAAAAAGTCAAAGTCAGCCTGTGGTGGTTTGAATGAGAATGGCCCCCAAAAGCTCATACATTTGAATACTTACTTCCCAGTTGGTGGAACTGTTTGGGAAGTTTAGAAGGTGTGGCTTTGTTAGAGGATGGGTCACTGGGGGCAGGCTTTGCAAAGAATCATACCATTCCCAGTCTCTCTCTTTCTCTCTCTCTGTCTCTGTCTCTCTCTTTCTCCACCTTGTAAGATGTGAGCTCTCAGCTATTCCTGTCACCACAGACTCTAACCCTCTGAAATGATAAACCCCAAATTAAACATTTTCTTTTACAAGATGCCTTGGTCATGATGTTTTTCCCACAGCAATAGAAAAGTAAATAAGACATTGTCCTAGACTGACAGTCTCTTTCCCCTTGCATGAAACAATTTTAGTTTCTCATGCAAGGGGAAACAGTTTTAATTTTAATATCTCTCTAGATATTTATACTATGGCGACAATACAGGGCACTGAAAATATATTCAGGAAGTGTTTTTAAAATGGCCAACAGGGGCCTGGAGAGATGGCTATTAGTTAAAAACATTTACCGCTCTTTCAGAAGACTGAAATTGCTTCTTAGCAACCATATTGGGCAGCTCAAAACTGCCTGCAACTCCAGATCCAGGGGATCTGACACCCTCTTCCGGCCTCGGAGGGTACCTACATGTCTGTATATACACATATACATACAGATGCAGACGACTAAATAAAAAATCTTATTTTTCAAATCACTAACAGAAACAGAATGACCCTTCTGGCAACACACTCCCATTCCCACAATTAGTCTATTTAATAAAACAGGTTTTTAGCCGGGCAATGATGGTGCACACCTTTAATCCCAGCACTTGGGAGGCAGAGGCAGGTGGAGCTCTGTGAGTTTGAGCCAGCCTGTAATAGCTAGGGCTATTACACAGAGAAACCCTGTCTCAGAAAATCAAAAAAAAAAAAAAAAAAAAGAAAGAAAGAAAGGGGTGGTGGTGTTCCTTTCCAGCCAAGAACCTGAGACATCCCCTAGAATCACATCTGGCCCACATGTGGCAAGGACAAAAAAACATAATAGAAAATTAAAGATAATGTAACAGAACTTGCCTCCTTAAAAAACACAGGGGCTGGGGTGAGGGGAGAAAGAGAGGGAAGGGAGGGAGAGAGAGAGACAGACACACACACAGAGACAGACAGAGAACTTACCTAGAGATGCTAAATACACTTCTGAATCATGCAAAGGAGCCCAGGGCTTTACAGATGGCTTTACAACAGAGTCCGCTGCCTCCGTATGGCCTTCACCTGCAGGGCATGAATCCAGAAAGGAGTCTGAGAAGGCGTTGCTGGCAGCATCTTCTTGGGCAGGACTTGGCAGACAAGAACAGATTTCAGCCCAGAGGTCCCGGCCAGACTTTGTAGCTGAAGAGTCAAGACTCTCAAACATTTTCATTTGGAGTCTGAGCTGAAAAACAGAAGCTCAAGTGAGTGAAGACCAGCTCCAGTACAGTATAATGCTGGGTGTGGTGGTGCACGCCTTAGGCCCAGAGCTTGGGAGACAGAGGCAGGCAGATCTCTGTGAGTTCCAGGACAGCCAGGAACACACAGTGAGACTTTGTCTCTAAATGAATGAATGAATGAATGAGAGAAAGAAAGAGAAAGGCTATAGTATAGGAGCTGGAGAGATGACTCAGAGATTAAGAGCACTGGCTGCTCCTGCAGACTAGTTTGGTCTTCAGCATCCACATGGCAGCTCACAATCATCTTTAACTCCAGTTCCAGGGCATCCAATGACCTCTTTTGGCTCTGTGAGCACCAAGCACGCATGTGGTGCACATACATACATGCAGGAGAAACACACATAAAATAAAAATAAATAAATCTTGCTGGGTGGTGGTGGCATACGCCTTTAATCCCAGCACTTCGGAGGCAGAGCCAGGTGGATCTCTGTGAGTTCGAGGCCAGCCTGGTCTACAGAGTGAGATCCAGGACAGGCACCAAAACTACACAGAGAAACCCTGTCTTGGAAAAAAAAATCTTAAAAAAAAAATACAGTATAGCCAGGTGTGGTGGTGCACACCTTTAGTCCCAGCACTCCAGAGGCAGAGACAGGTGGATATCTGTGAGTCTGAGGCTAGGCTGGCCTACATAGCAAGTTCCAGGTCAGGGCTTCATAATGTGACCCTGTGTCAAAAAAATTAAAACACACACACACACACACACACACACACTACACACCCTGAATGGGTAAAGGAGTCTAAGAAATACATTAAAGGAGCCCAGGGCTTTACAGTTGGCTGGACAGAAGAGTCTGTTCCTCCAGATGGCCTTCATCTACAGGATGAGAATCCATCCAGGAGTGTGAGAAACCACAGTCCCAGAACTGCATTCTATATATTCAAGAAACACAAGAATACCTGTGCTGCTTCCACATGCACAAGCAGCTAGCTACACTGTTCTCTGCAGATCTCTTTAACACACAGCTGTTCTATCATCAGTCAGTTAAAGCTTGTCTTCAGTGGGGCACAGACTGACAGTCTTACATAAGAAAACAGCAAAAACATTGCTTGGTGAAAGTGTCTGTCAAAGAGCACTGTCATAATGCAAGGGCATTCACTCATTTCAGCAGCAGCTGGGCTGTATTCTTCAAGTTCCTGCACATCCCCATTCATACTTTTTACCACTTAATTTTTTTATTACTATTTTAGTTGCCCATATTTATGTGGTAACGTGTGATAACTCAATAAATGTATGTGATGTGTAATCACCCAGATAACTAGCACTGAATACAAACATTGAAGGAGAGGCATTTTCATCATTTTACAGACACAGTTAGGTGTGGTGGAGCACATCTGTGACGCCTGCACTCAGAAGTCTGAGACAGAAAGGTTATGAATTCCAGGAACTGGTGAGGAAGAAGGAAGAGGAGCAGGAAAAAGACCAGGAAGAAGCGGGAAGAAGAAATAACAAGATCAAATGAGTAGTTTGCTCAAAGCTGCATTGCTGGTATATGATGTTTTGCTTCCAAAATCCTTATTTTTACCCAGCATCAACATTCTGCCTGCTTGGGAAACGCACTGAAAGCCGCCCACGCTGAGATCGATGAGACGGGCTATGCGCAGAGCCTAGGGATTTCCATAACCATCTAGGTTTATAGAATAGGTAGGCTCCCGCTTGTAAGAGGGCTTTTAAAGATCAGGAAAGCCGACGAGGGCAAAGTCTGAAAAATTCCAGCAGACAGTCCAGACAGCGCGAGGGCCCAAAGTCAGAGGAACAGATATGTCACGGAGTCCTTAGATTCTCCATGGAAGTCTTCTGAACACACCCAAACCCCAAGTCTGCTCTCACCCGGGAGCCCGCGTGTCCCTGACCCAGAATGTCCAGAACAGTGGACGAAACCGTGTGTCCAGATCCCAGGCCTCAGTCACTCGGCCTCAAGAATTGACTGGCCTTGATGATCTGGTCCCTGATACCCTAGTTGTGTTCCGGGGTCAGGCCATAGGAGGGGATGCTAAACACTGGACCGTGGCCCCCCACCTACCGCAATCACCTGCCCAGCAGTCTCCAAACGCCCGGCTCAGGTCTGTCGCTGGCAGTCAGGAAGAAGCCGTGAGGGGCGGAGTCTCTGAGTGACGGGGCTCAGGAGCCCTCCAATTGATGCCTGATTTTTTGGCATCCTGTGAGTTGATTGGTAGAATAGAGCTAGTGACGCCCAGAGGGCCGGCAGTCGGTGGGCGGAACTAGTAGTTGCCAGGGAACGGTGGAATCGCTTATCCAGAGTTTCCTCTCCAAGACCTGACTGATTGTTAGCAGGTCCCAGAGTTCCAGCTTTCCACCCTGCCATCCCCGACTCGGATAGTGAAGCCAGTTTTCTAGACTTTTCTTGGTCCCGAGAGGTCTTGATTTCTAAAGCCCCTCGGAAAGAAGGTGCCTGCCTGTCTTATATGTCTAGATGGTTCTCGAAGCCCCAAGGCTCTAGGTGCAGCCCTTTCCACCTGTCATTGCCTGGTCTGTTGTCCAGTGTATTTCCCAATCTTGGGCAAAAATACAGATTTTGGGGCAGTAAGTCGTGTATCAATTACCTCCCAGACAATTCTCTGAATATTTGTGTTGCCTTTACCCCTCGACTACCCCAAGTTAGAGCATGTCAGTGACACAGGACATCAGGGCCTCATTCGCCAACTTCTGAGTCGTTCCTTTATTCATTTAGTTGAAAAAATACCAAGCTCCTACTCTGCTGTAGATATTCTAAGTGTGAATTCAGGACACACAAAAGTGAGTATGAGCCCCAAAGCTCCTTACAGCTTAGTGTAGGAGGTGGTCCACCAGAGAGACAGACAGATTTACAAACGGCACCAAAGAGTTATGGAGTATGAATGAGGGTAGTGTGGGGAGGGAGAGAGGGGAGAGGAGAGGGACAGAGGAAGAGAGAGGTAGAAAGAAAGACAGAGACAGAGAGAAACAGTTTTTATAACACCTGCACTAGCCAGGTGTGGTGATGCATGCCTGTAATTCTAGAACTGAGGCAGGAGTTGTTCAAGGCCAGCATGAGGTATGTAGTTAGTTCCAGGTTTAACCTGAATTACAAGAAAAGATCCCATCTGAAGGTAAAATTATCTTACAATCCTCCAAAGATTATCAACACGTTCCTTTAGTTATTCCTTGTTCCAAATGATTTTTTAAAAATTTATTTATGTGTATATCTTTCATTTGGTGTCTGTACAAGTCAGAAGAGGGTGTTGGATGTCCTGGAGCTGGAGTTACAAGTGGTTGTGAGACTTCTGATGGAGATGCTGGGAATTGAACCTGGTCCTCCAAAAGAGCAGCAAGCACTCTTAACAGCTGAGCCCCATTATTCCCAGTTCTAAGGCTGTTACTCTATCACAAAGAAAGATGTGATGAAACACATCAGCCAATCATCAGCACAGTAGCTTGGCAGAGGGTATTGTCTTGAGATGTGGCCAAATCCCATCGTTATGGCAAAGGTAACAGCAAACTGCTACCATATGCAAATGCCAGCACAGAATCCTGTTGCTCACATCTGTAAGCATCCTTAGACTACGAACTGAAGGAAGTGGAAAGCACAGAGTCTAAGAACAACAAAATAAGTAACAGTGAAGGTTGTGGCAATGTTTACTCACAGAATAAGAGAAAGGAATCTGGTATTATCTGGTTCACAGAAAGCGGCATGGGAATAGAGTTCCCAGTGTTTCATTAGGATGTGCCAAGTCTTCATAAGTCACACACACTCTTTACACTGATCAAATGCTCACCAAAAACAGTCTTGTTGTTTGTGTTTTTTTGTTTTTGTTTTTGTTTTTTTGAGACAGGGTTTCTCTGTGTAGCCCTGGTTGTCCTGAAACTCTCTCTGTAGACCAGGCTGGCCTCGAATTCAAAGATCCACCTGCCTCTACCTCACAAGTGCTAAGATTAAAGGCATGTGCCACTACTAACTGACTTCCAAACACATTCTTGATTTCCTATTTGGCCTCTCAGATGTCTGGATGCCAAGATGAGATGCCTTTAAACAGTAGCTGTGAATAACCCAGTTGCTGAAAAAGTACTTTCTTAAATTCACAATCACAAGTTAACAATTTAGAACACTACCAGGTCATTCAAGTCCTCCAAATCTGATTCATGTGCTGGACCCTAGTGTCCGTCGGTGATGGTTCAGGCTTCTTTCTTTTTCTATTTTTATTCCATCTTGAGCATGTATGTCTTTACCTCTGTTTCTGTACCACATATCAACCCCCCTCCCCAGAAATGCCCTCACTGACATACCCAGAAGTGTGCTAGACTAGTACAGACTAATTAGTTCATAAGATGCTAGGTTAGTAAAAACTAATCTCTCGGGTGTGTCTCAATTGAATAAGGTTGGTAGTCAAAAGGAACCATCATAGCCAGTTTGTGGCTTCTACCTCTTGGAGGTAATAATGTAATGTCAGAAGTTTCTCTACTTAACAGAAGGGGACAAGGTCTGGGGGGTATAGTGTAGTGGTAGAGCATTTGTTCAGTATGTGTGAGACCCTGGGTTTGATCTCCAATACCACAAAAACTCAATTATATTAAAATTTTTAAATGTATTTGGAAGGTGCTACATATCCATAAAGTACATGTAATGCTGGGATGTTTTATATTAGTGCTTCTCAAGCCTTCCACATAAATCAGCCTGAAGTGCAGATTTCTGTTCAAAAGTCAAGAAGAGTGGGAGAATGAGATTTTGATTTGTTTTTACATCCAACAATTTTGCTAAGCACTATTCTAAGTGTTTTAATTGGATTAATTTGTTAATTCTCCCAACTCTGTTCCAGAACAATCCAGTGTGAAAAACAGGCTCTAGGTCACATGAGACTGAAGGAAGAAAGAGGCAGAAAGACCCTAGATTGTATAGAGTTCAAGGGACTTGCTGATGGAAGTGTGGTCCTGTCTGGCAACAAGAGCAATGAGGGATATCTGTAATTTCAGCCAGAAGAAAGTTTATATTCTGGTAAAAGCAAAAGTGACTTCAAGGTAGAATATACCTGCTTGAGCTAACCCAATATCAAGGACATCAGGCATTGATTGTGCTGAGATCCAGCTATGAAGCTCCACATACCATATAGTGTACTTACAATGTTCTGGGAAATGTATGCAGAGAAAGCCAACTAAGGTTACTCAGAGGCAATTGTGGTTATGACTCAAGATGGCTGTGATCAGGTCAAACTGAGTCTGTACTAACTCTAGGAAGCAGAAAGCCTGCTTATGTGTAATTTTCTTTGGATAAAATGTTACCCTCATTGTAAGTTTCTTTTCCTTTCCTCTTGCTGTCTCTCTGTTTCTCTCTGCCTGTGTCTGTCTCCCCCTTCTCTCTGTCTCTGTCTCTCTCTTTTGTCTTACTGTGTAGCCCTGGCTTGTCTGGAACTCTCTATGTAGATCAAGCTGAACTCAAACAGATCCACCTGCCTTCTTAGTGCTGTGTTGAAAGGCATACACCACTACTCCCAGTCCTCATTGTAAATTTCTTTTTTTCTTTTTTTTTAATATATGAGTGCTCTGTCCACATGTATGCCTGCATTCCAGAAGAGGGCATCATATCTCATTATAGATGGCTATGAGCTACCATGTGGTTGCTGGGAATTGAACTCAGGACCTCTAGAAGAGCAGCCAGTGCTCTTAACTGCTGAGCCATCTCTCCAGCCAGTAAATTTCTTAGTAAGACCACTCATTCAAGAGATAGTGTTTTCCTTTTGAAACAATTCTGTTCTAAAGTACCCATAGCCAGCAAAAAGTTCAACCTCTTTTTAAAAAGCAGTTGATTGGGAAGCTGGCATTTCAGCATAAGAACTTCTGTAGCTTCAGATACCTCAGTCTGCTGTGGAGTAAGACTAACAACTTCAGTCCTTCACTTGGTTTGATGAGCCCTTTGTTTGGGCTAGTTTTGAACTCAGCCTGTAGTCAAAGATGACCTAGAACTTCTGACTCTCCCACATCCACCTCCCAAGTGCTAGGGCTATAGGCATTCATTACAAGGCCTGCCTTTGTGGGACTTTTGATATAATGAAGAATTTAGCTAAAAATTTCCTCTTGATCCTCTCCAGAATGCTAATACATTCGATAAGAATAGTCTAAACCAACATTAACATTTTATATCATAAATGCTCACAAAAAAGTTCATGCTCACATTCTTGAATTGGACTAGACAGTTGTCCAATTTTTAGATGCTAGCATCCAAATGTCTACCTATTTGGAGGAATCTCACTGTGAAGACTAAACAGGGTTCTAGTCTATTTACAGGCACTCTGTAAATAATGACAGACCTAGTCCCTCCTTGGTGGAAGGAAGATTCTGGATCTTGAGATAGGAACACAAAGAGGTTGAGATTTTTTAGAGATTTTTCAAGGAACAAGAAGGCTGTGGGGCAGAAAGTCCTTTGGCACAGCTGCCACATCTCACAGTGTGGCAGCATCCCAACTGGGTTCTTCTCCAGCAACGGCTGGTTTCCAGAGGCCTTTGCTTCCTTTGGTTTGGTCTCTTTGAGTCTATACTTTAGCTCTTTTATGAATCTTAAGAGGCACCAATGCCCTTTCAGTAAGTAATTCCCTCTCTGATGAAGTTAGCCAACATGGATCTCAGCATTTTGCACTTAAGAACTATAGCAGGCTGGGCAGATAACTCAGCTGGTAAAGAGCTTGCCGTGCGACACAGACCTGAGCTTGATCCCCAGAATTGACATAAAGAAGGTGGCGTGTTTGTAATTTCAGTGGGAGACTGTGGTGGTTTGAAAGAAAATGGCCCCCAAAGGGAGTGGCACTATTAGGAGGTGTGGCCTTGCTTGAGGAAGTGTGTCACTGTAGAGGTGAGCTCTCTGAGGTCTCTTTTGCTCAAGCTTCCCTCAGTGTGACATTTAATTGACTTCCCATTGCCTGCAAGATGTAGCATTCTCAGCTCCAGCAGCACATCTGCTCACTGTCATGCTCCTGCACACTGCCATTCTCCCCATAGTGATGATAATGGACTGAACCTCTGAAACTGCAAGCTGCCACCTCAATTAAATGTTTTCCTTTGAAAGAGTTGCTGTGGTCATGGTGTCTCTTCATAGCAATAGAAAACCCTAACTGGCCGGGCGGTGGTGGCGCACGCCTTTAATCCCAGCACTCGGGAGGCAGAGCCAGGCGGATCT